GGAAGGGTTCAAGGCATACTACTCCGTGAGATTCCGGTTTAAAGTCTCAAACAATGAGGCTGAATATGAGGCACTGCTTTGCGGCTTGAGGTTGGCAGCCTCATTAAAAGCTGAGCGAATCCAAGTCCGGTGCGATTCCAAGCTAGTGGTAGGCCACGTCACTGGAGAATTTGAGGCCAAGGATGAACGAATGAAGAAGTATAGAGACACTGCCCTGGAGTTGCTTAAAGCATTCGGGGCGTACCGGATAGAGCAGGTCCCTCGGGAAGAGAACGCTGAGGCAGATATCTTGTCAAAGCTTGGTCCGGATTCCCCGGATCATATTAAGGCAATGACCCAGGAAGAAGAGTTGCTCAAGCCAAGCATCAGTCCCGGACAAGTGCTGATCATCACACTCAGAGAGGAGCCGGATTGGATTGATGAGATTACCATGTACATCCTTGACGGGTCGTTACCCATCGACCCAATCGCGGAAAAGGTGGTGAGGCGACGTGCACCCAGCTACACGCTGGAGTGCGGTCGGCTGTATAAACGATCGTACAAGGGTACATTGTTGAGGTGCTTAAGAGCGGGCGAGGCACAGAAGTTAATGGAGGAAATCCATGAGGGAATATGTTCAGCGCATCAGGGAGCCTTCACGATGTCCAGGAAGGTGACCCTACAAGGATACTTTTGGCCAACGATTATCAGAGATTGCGTAGAGTACGTGCGCAAATGCAAGGTTTGCCAGGAATTCCAGAGGATGCCAGGGCGACCGGCGACGAATTATACCCCGATAAGCACAGCGATTCCCTTTGCCCGGTGGGGCATCGATCTGGTCGGTATTTTGCCTCGGGGGACAGGGAACAACACATACCTGGTGGTCGCGATTGACTACTTCACCAAGTGGGTCGAAGCCGGCCCCGTGCCAACCATCACTGCGGAACAGATGACGAAGTTTGTTTCCAAGCAAATCTTGTGCCGATTCGGGGTGCCCCAGCAGATCATCACTGACAACGGAACCCAATTCGAGGCCGAGGGGTTCAATGAGTTTCTACAGAGCTGGGGCATAAAACACAGCTATGCGGCGGTCGGGTACCCCCAAACCAATGGGCAGGTTGAGAACACCAACCGTACCATCATGGATGGCCTCAAGAAGAAAATAATGGAATGCAAAAGTGCCTGGGTGGAAGAAGTGCCCTATATATTGTGGACCTACAGAACTACCCCAAGGAAGGCAACAGGTGAAACCCCTTTCTCGCTCACATATGGATTTGAAGCAAGGGCTCCAGCGGAGACCTCGTTGTTAAGTTATAGAGTAGAGACGTTTGATGCTCAAGGAAATGAGGAGAACCTGAGGGCAGAGCTGCACCTCATTGATGAGCGAAGGGAAAGGGCATATATGCGGGCAGAAAACTACCGCCGGCAGGTCAAGTCATATCACGACCAGCGGGTGCGACCAAGGCAGTTCAAGATGGGCGACTGGGTCCTTCGGAAAAGGGAGGTCAGCCGGCCGACCGATGGAGGAAAGTTTGCTAAAAGCTTCGAGGGGCCATATATCATAAAGGAGGTGTTGGCCGATGGGACATTTAGATTGCAGACTCCAACCGGTGGCGACGTTCCGCGAGTATGGAATGCCGCCAACCTTATTAAATTTTATCAATAGATTGTATTCCAGCCATGT